AGCCGCCCATGAGAAGACGCCACACAGGCTCATCGGGGGCCCCCTTTCCAGGGCACAGGCTCTGGGTGGGTGTGACAGACCTCCTGCTCCAGCCACAGCTGTCGCTGTCTTCCCCTGGAAGCTGTCCTCTTCTGGTCCCACGCGCATGCTGTCACCCCTGGGTCTACTGTGCACAGGAAGCTCCTGGCGCCAACACACCCGCAAAGCGATGACTGTCCCCTGCCGCATCTCCACTTGCTCCCTAACCCCTGTCCCCCAGCCCGGCCAGTCTCCCCTGGGCTAATCCCCCCGTGGCCCCTCTATTGAACTGTTGTGTTGTCCGTTTCCCTATGACAAGGGCTCTGGTTACAGAGTTATTGATTGGTTTCCATGCAGACAGATGGGCCCTTCCCGGGCTCCTGTCAAAGTCCGCGGCTGTGTGGGCTGATTGTTGGCTCTCGGGTGTAGGATTGCACCGGAGACCACCCTCCACGCGGCCCCGGCGCCCAGGCCAAGAGCGGCAACAGATGAGACAGCCGAGCGATGATAAAAGCCATCGAGTGGGTGACCTGGGCGGGCGCGAGGTGGATGCCACTTCCTATTTGATGTGATTGCCTGGTTGAGATCTCAGGACAGTTGGGACGCTACTTATCTACTCATTTGGGGTTGTCCCCCCGCCTTGGCGCCTTTGCATCACCTTGCAAAGCCCAACTGGAGCTGCCGTTGGCCCCAGCCCCTCCTGTCTGCCCCTTCTTGACGAACGCGGAGCCCGGCCAGTGCTTTCCCTGAAAACTGCTTTGTGGCCTGAACATGCACCGAACCAGCCAGCGGGGAGACAGTCGGACTGACGGCTCCGCTGGCCAGGAAACCCAGTCCAAAATGACTGAGGAACAAGAAGAGCTTCTCGGGAGGCCATCCAGCCATTTGGGGGAATGAGAGTCTCACTGGCTAGGCCCGCTCCCAAGGTTATCCCGATACTTGCCTTGGCAGCAGGGACCAGACAGAGAGAAACTGGCGTGGCTGCCAGCATGCGGGCCCAGCCTGCTGGGCTCAGGCCACCGAGGGCCGTCCCTGTCCTCGTGCCTCCCACTCCCCTGAAGGTGGAAGGCCTATCCTTCACTCTCCGGTTCGCCCTGGCCCTTCGCCACGAGACTAGCAGCCTTGACCACCAAGCAGCCGCAAGGGCACGGAGACCGGGCCGGCAGCACTGCCCGGCCCAGCTTCCTGCCGAGCCAGATCCAAGATCAAACAGGCAACATTCTGGAGCCCGAGTTTCAGACAGGGAGGAACAGCCCCAGCCCTGAACACGTCTTCCCCATCCCCCTGGCCGGGGCCGGTGGCTCCCTGCCCGTCCTGCCCATAGATTAGAAAGGCCTTTGAATGAACACCTGGCAGGCCCCGCACCTGCAGCCAGACCCCTGGCAGAGGACACAGGGGGCACCCGCATAACCCAGGACGGGATTCTGCAACACCCCGCTGGGCCACAGCCTTCTGGAAGTGCAGTCTGCCCTTGCTGGGAGAATGTGTGCGCTTGGAGCCACACAGGCTGAGGGGCATGGGTGGGTGGTGGGTGACCAGTGACATGCGGACTCTGGCAGAGGCCACCCCAGAGACCTAGGGGCAGGGAGTGCCCTGACCTCCAAGGGTGTCGGGCTCCCCTGGCCATGCCCTCACTGTCAACGCCTTCCAAAAGTGCACCCTTGCGGGATCTCCGGTGACCCGAGATGCTCCCTGCAGTTGGCACCTGCTCTCTCAAAGGAGCTGTGTTCCCTGCCCAGACCAGCAGCCCAGGCAGAGCTGGGTGCGTCATCAGGAAAATCCTTCCCGCCTGGTCAACCGCTTGGCCACGGAGCCAGGCGCCTTCCCCTCCTGGTGACACAGGTCTCCCTCCACCTTTCCCCCCTCGGGCCATTCCCCACACCAGGTTTCAGTCCAAAGCCACCTGTTCATCAACCGTCGCCCTTGACAGAGGCCGGGAACGAGGTGAAGAGCCGGCAGCCCCATGCTCAGCGACCAGGAACCCGGTATTTAGAAGCAGTCAGATAAATCCCACATGCTAAGCAGCCCCTCGGCCCTCGGGATTGTTGACCGTGGTCTCTGGGCATGGGGAGGCCTTCCTAGCCCAATCCTTGGGCTCAGAGGGACTCCCGCAGGCTTCGCTAATGGGGGATGAGGGCCGGATGGCCAAACCTTCATCACCACAGGATCAGATGCCAAAACCGCCAGGAAAGCACGAAAAGCAACTTGGCTTACAAGCCTCACAGCATCTTTCAAGGGCAGTGGCCGCATGTGGTCAGGGAGGAGGGAATGAGAGCCTTTGGCGCAGGCGGGTGGGCACGTGTGGCCGTCCTGCCGACCCCCGGCTGGTGCACGTCCTCCCCCTCGGCTGTGGCAAAAGACCCTGCCTAGGGACACGTCACCAGCAAAAAGCGCCAGACCCAGAAGCCACCGCCCCCAACACATCACGCTTTTCTGCACAGAGGAAAAACCCCAGGTTCTTCCTCCACGAGCGAGAATTCCCGAAACGGAGAGGACCAGGCTCCCAACACAACCAGCCGCAGAGACGCTGCCTGTCAGCACAGGCTCCGGGGTGCCACAACCCATCCCAGAGAAGCCCCCCGCCGACTTCAGAGCCAAGCACCCACAGGGCGAAAGGTGGGGTATGTGGCACCCTGAGCCTTCCCCCGGTCCCCACTCGGCAGCCCCCAGAATCCATCCCAAAATAGGAACGCTGGGAGGACAGCCTGCCTGGCCCTGGATGACAAAGTGAGCTGTGACGCCCAGCTGCAGGGCAAGGGTGCTGCCCGGGCTGTGGGTGGCTACCAGCTCCTCTCTCCCTCCTCCTGCCCACCTCCGCCGACTCCTGCTGGCGGACGGCTGTGGCCCCACACCCGGAGGAAGCCCAGCGCCCCTCGGGTGACAGGGCTCTGAGCCGGGGAGGTCCTGCTGCTGTGGGAGCTCCAAGCCATGGTTGGTCCTTCTCCACTCCTACGCCGCTCCGGCTCTGTCCTCATCCCGGTGGGGCACCCCCAGGCTTCCAGAGCCTGAGCCTGGCGTCGCCTGTGCCCAGCTCTCCACGCTTTTCAGAATCAAAGCATTCCCAAACTGGGACCGGAGCCAGCTTCCAAAATCATGTCTGCCAGGGGCGGGGGAGGTGTATGTTGGGGACGGGGCCACCACACCTGCCATGTTGCCCACTCCGCTGCCCCATCCAGGAGAAGCCAACGGCCTTGACCCTGCCTGGCTTGGTGCCTCCAAAGCCTTGCAAACCCAGTTACTGACAACAAGCATTTCTCTCCAGCATTCTCCAGAACACCACGGCTCCGTCCAGCGACACACTCTGGGCCCCGGCTGTCTCCCTCCCAGAACCTCAGTCCCAGCTCACTCCCAAGAGCTGCCAGCCACGGGGCTGAGTTTCAGACTGGTTCCAGAACAAGGCTGCAGCCCCTTCCCCTCCCAACTGCCAAGCCAGCCTCAGCCCCAGCCCCAAGCCTCCTGGCCTCCTCCCCGGGCTTTTAAATGCAAAGGGCTCCTTCCTCCCCCAACCACCCAGGCCTGGTTCCAGCTCTGTGGGAAGGTATCTGAATGTCAAATCGCTGGGCTTTCAATACCTGGCTGGGCCAGGCCCAGGGAGCTGAGGGTTTTCAGAGGGTGTATAATTAGCTGATCAGTATTATGTTACCCTGTTCATAACTGAATAACCATTTTAATACAGATGGCACACACCGGGATAATTCCTGGGGTCGCCTCGCCGTACGTTACAGCACAAGTGTGGCAGAGGGAATCTTCTTTAGCCAAGGTACATTCTACCAGCTAATTTTACCTGCTGTTTTCAGGATGATTTGGGATAATTCCATACCATTTGCAAAATATTAAAAAAAAAAAACCTTGCTATGTGGCGCTCATTTCAGAATAAGGCACCATCTGAATTATTAGTTGTCCTGATAATGAGCCTCGGAAGAGTTCAAAGAATAACAGAGGTGTGAAGCCCTTAGTCCTCCTGGTGGGGGTGGGGGTGGGGGTGGGGCCGCTTAAGCTGGGGTGGGGGTGCAAGACATCTGAGTCTTGCTTCTGACTGGAGTGTGACTTGTGCGGGGTCTCTGTGTACCACTGTCAGGCCACACACTTCTGTCATCCTGAAGCCAGCCCGGGTAGCCGGGGCTCCCCGGCCAGGCCGCTAGCCGAGCCATGCGTGCACGGAATGTGCACACGTGTTCTCCCGGAGCACACCCTGGAGGGGTTTGGAGTCTGGGAGACCTCACTGTCCTGCATGTCACGCCGACTCTGGCCTGTACCGTCCCCACTTGCGCAAAAGACTTCAGCCTGGAGACAGGCACCCGAGGGGGTTGGGGGCATCCTTTCCCAAGGCTGAGTCTCAGGGTCTGGGGCTCTCCCGCCCTGCCTGGCACCCCAGTCCCTGTCTGGCTCGCCTGCCCCTGCCAGGTGCTGGCTGGTGGTTGGCGGTGCCGGTGCCCTGGGGCCGGAAACGTGTGTGGAGCTGGCTAGCGAGGCCTGGGCTCCTGGGAGCAAGCTTTGTGGGAGCTGGCCCGGAGGGAGGAGGACTGGGCTCCTGGGAGCAAGCTTTGTGGGAGCTGGCCCGGAGGGCGGAGGAGCCAGGACCGCGGCCGCCCGGGAAGGGAGCGCGCCTTTAGAAAGGGAAGTCTGTTAGGAGGCGGTGAATAGACGCTGGTCATTTTAAAGGCTCGGGCTGCTGGCGGTGATTGTCTCTAGATTCCGAGGCGCCTAATCTTGGAGTCTTAATTACCACAAACACTTGGATCCCTTTCCAGGTCGCAGGCAGAAGCCCGGCAGGGAATACGCAGCCCTGAACTGGAGACAGCCCTGCCTGTCTGTCTGTCTGTCTCCGCCTTGCAGTTTTCCTCTCCCTGCCCGGATGACTTGGGGCAGGAGCCCGGAGGAAGGGCAGAGGCTGGACAAAGAGCGAGCGCGGCGCAGGACGCGGCCTGGGGCAGGAAGCGGGCGCCGGAGTCCCGCCCCGCAGGCCCGGGGCGCTTGCTCACCTGTTGATGGAGGAGACGCTGGGCACCGTGTCGTTGTCACAGATGCCCTCAGCCAGGAGCCGGTCCCGAATCTCCCAGGCGAACATGGTCGGGTTCTGCCGCTTGTACTCGGCAATCTTGTCCACTACTTTGGGCGTCGCCACCTTGGGCTTGGAGCCGCCGATCACGCCGGGCTTGATGCTGCCGGTCTCGTAGTACCTGGGCCGGGAAGGCCGGCGGGGTCAGCAGGGGCGGCG